TAAATATTGAAGAATCTATTCATGTTACATTTGATGAAATTGTAGACCTTGGGGGAAATCCTCTTGAGTCAAATAAAGAACTTGCAGGTGATGATGAATATATAAGAGAGGCTCTTGATGAATTGTATTTGGAAGAAAATGAGCCTTCTCAAACACCTGAATTAGCAAAAGAATGGCAATCACCAAGAGGACTCTCAATGGACAATATCATTGGTGATATCTCAAAAGGGGTAAGAACTAGAAACATGACTAACTTTTGTATGTCTGTAGCTTTTGTGTCTCAGATAGAACCCAAAAATGTGGAGGAAGCACTTAAAGATGAACAATGGTGCATTGCTATGCAAGAAGAACTTAACCAATTTGAAAGGAATCAAGTCTGGGAATTAATCCCAAGGGAAGAATCACATCAAGTTATTGGAACCAAATGGGTATTTAAAAATAAACTTGATGAAGATGGAAACATAACAAAGAATAAAGCCAGACTTGTTGCCAAAGGCTATTGTCAGGAGGAAGGTATAGACTATGATGAAACATATGCTCCTGTTGCCAGGTTAGAGGCTATACGCCTACTTCTTGCTTATGCATCTTTGATGAAATTTAAGTTATATCAAATGGATGTTAAGAGTGTATTTTTGAATGGTTTTATTAAAGAAGAAGTTTATGTGGAGCAACCCCCTGAATTTGAAGATTTTAGTTATCCTAATCATGTTTTTAAATTAAAGAAAGCTTTATATGGGTTGAAACAAGCTCCTAGATCTTGGTATGAGAGGCTAAGTAGTTTCCTAACTTCAAATGATTTTACTAGAGGAAAAATTGATTCTACTCTGTTTATAAAGAAAGTAAAAGAGCATATCTTATTGGTCCAGGTATATGTTGATGATATTATTTTTGGATCAACTGATAATTCGTTATGTGTAGAATTTGCTAAGATAATGCAGGGAGAGTTTGAAATGTCTATGATGGGAGAATTGACATTCTTCCTTGGACTTCAAATCAAGCAACTTAAAGATGGCATTTTCATCTCTCAAACCAAATACTGCAAAGAGATCCTTAAGAAGTTTGGTATGGACACCTCAAAGGAAGCTAACACACCCATGGGAACTTCATGCTATCTGGACAAGGATGAATCAGGTTTGGAAGTTAATCAATCTATGTATAGAGGTATGATAGGTTCACTATTATACTTAACTGCAAGTAGACCTGATATTATGCATTTTGTCTGTGTGTGTGCTAGATTTCAGGCTTGTCCAAAAGAATCTCACCTAATTGCAGTAAAACATATTTTAAAATATTTAAAAGGAACTCCTGGTTTTGGTTTATGGTATCCATCTGATGGTTGTACTAGTTTAATGGGATATTCTGATGCTGATTATGGTGGATGCAAAATTTATAGGAAAAGTACTAGTGGGACATGTCATTTGTTAGGTTCATCCTTAGTATCTTGGCATTCTAAGAAACAAGCTTGTGTTGCTTTATCTACCACTGAAGCTAAATATATTGCAGCTGGTAGTTGTTGTGCTCAAATTCTGTGGATGAAACAACAGTTAGAAGATTATAGTATATTTTTAAATGACATACCTTTGATGTGTGATAATACGAGTGCAATTAATCTTATTAAGAATCCAGTAATGCACTCTAGGACTAAGCACATAGAAATTAGACATCACTTTTTGAGAGATCATATCAGTAAAGGAAACTGTAAAATAGAGTATGTTGATAAAAAACATCAATTAGCAGATATTTTTACTAAGCCTCTACCCAAGGATAGATTTTATGATCTTAGAAGAGACTTAAGGATATTAGAAATAGCTTAAATTCTGCTTATTTAGACAGTTTTTGGATGATTGTAATGTTAAAATTCATTACACAGAATGTTAATAGTTTATCATGTGTTAAAACCTTAAAAATTTGATGTACTCTCTGGAATAATCGATTAATTGGAGTTATAATCGATTATTTGCATCCAAAACACTCAAAACAGGGCATTCCTCTCTGGATTAATCGATTAATTCGCCAATTAATCGATTAAATACAACATTAATCGATTAACTGCACAATTTAATCGATTAAATGGTTCTGGCACTGGTTTAATCGATTAATCTGAGTTTTAATCGATTAAACCTGGCAAGTTTGGCTTCCTAGCCGTTGCCAATGGATTTCTTGACTTATATTCTCTTCCATATGACTGTTAGACATGCTTGATTATAAATAGGGGCCTCCATTTCACTTCTACTCACTTCTATCTCTTGAAATCAAGCTTTCTTGCCTTATTCTAGAAATCTTGCCCTCTTCTCAATACATTTAGCTTTCTAAATCTTCTTGTTATTCCTCAAATATTTCAATGGCCTCATCTTCTCGTGCTAAGATCCCTACTAGAAGAAGATCTGCACTCTCATCCCGTCCCCGTCCTAATTCTGTAGAAGGATGGATTTCTGATACAGATGGCCAACAAGAATTTCTGACCTATTGGAAGGAGCGTGCTATTATTTCTCCAAAGTTCCTTATTGGTGAGCAGTTCATCAATAGGGGATTCAACTTTCCCAACCTTTTTGAAATTCAAGGAGTTCTCCCTTTCATCCAAATGCAAAGTACGTATTACCCTGACCTTGTTAGGGTATTTTACTCTAGATTTAAATTTAGAGATCAAATTGCTACCTCTAGAGTAAAAGGCGTCACAATTATTCTTGACGACGATATTTGGGAGAATGTTTCCCACTTTCCAATTAGAGAAGATGATATTAACATTTATGGTGAGTTAGATGATTTTGACAGGTTCTTAGCTTACCGTTCTTTTCTGTGAAATCCCTCCATGGAGATTGGGCGTCTCCTTCTTGCTGGACCTTTAAAGAAGGAGGAACGCATGATTCTACATCTACTTGTCTGGATTCTATGTCCTCGGGCTACAAATCATGCTCAATGTTCTTTAATTGATCTTAGGATTATTCATGCCATAATGAATAATGAGCCTTTAGATTGGGGCGTTCTTGTCACCATGACTATGTTAAAAGCCAAACGACATCCCACCTTCAAAATTCCATATGCTCTCCTTGTCTCTCGGATTCTTGAATACAAAGGAGTCAATGTCGAAAGTGAACAAGCAGTAAGAACAAATAACTTGAATCGCATGCTTAACAGCACATTGATCTAACTACAAATGGTGCATGTCAACGACATTTATGTTCACAAGGATGACGTTCCGAATCAAGGTGGTGACAATGAAGATTCTAATGAAGATATGCCTCCTGCTGCTGAGTTTCCCTCTGATCAAATCCAAAGTGTTGGAACTTCCTCTACTCATCATGAAACCCGACAATCCATGGAAGACATGTTATCTGACATGAATCACAGGATGCAGTCATTCTTCACTCTTTCTGGAGTACGACATGAGGAAATAATTCATCGTATATCTGATGTAGATGATAAAGTGTGTCGTTTAGAAAATAGATTTGATGCACACTTTCATAGTGATGATAGTGAAGAATTTTAAATTTGTTATTATTTCCTATATTGTAATAATTTCTTATCTCTGAAATAAAATATGGTATTCTGTTATTGCTTTGATTGAGGGGGAGTTCTCTTTAAAGTTATGCATATTTTGAGGGGGAGCTCTTATGTTTGTAGTAGATGAATTATGTTTGATTCTAATCAAAATAGGGGGAGAAAATATTTAAAGCCTAAAATGATTGTTTTTAAATATTATCTGGTATGTTTAATGTGTTTGTTAGTATGACAGATAAAACAAGTTATTACAAGGCTTTAAAAGATAATTTTGATCATCATCAAAAAGGGGGAGATTGTTGAACATTCAAGGACTTGATGTTGCACTTGATGAACATGAAGATTGTTGATTTTGATGATGATTCAAGAACTCAAAGACTTAGAGTGTTGAAGACTTGTTTTGTATTGTAATAACTCTGTTTCAATTAGATTGAGTCTGTAATATTAGAGTTTAAGATAGCTGGTACATAGTCTGCACCTTAGAAGCTTCAAAAAGCTCAAATTTATCATCCAGGCTTGGCTTTAATCGATTAAATAGGGAAATAATCGATTAAAACAGTGAGAAAAACCATTTTTTGTACCTGCTCACTGGTTTAATCGATTAAACCACCTGTTAATCGATTAACAGCCCTTTTAACCAATTAAAACAGAGAGTTTTAGGGTTCTGTTGATTTTGGCTCTGTAATAATCGATTAATACTTCATTTCATCGATTATTTCAGTTAGATTTTGATTTTTAACTTCAAATCAACCCTATTTTCGAAAACCCTATTTCCAAGAACCCTAATTCCGAAATTCCCAAACCCTAATTTCTCTACTTAAGCTTCTCTATGGCACTCAGAAAATAAGAACAACCTTTTTCATACAAAAGTTAAGTGCTATGAGTGCCAGAGAACTGTTTGTTGCAAGAAAAAGGGGCTTTTGGAACTTGGTGTGGGCTAGAAGCGATAAGAATCACTAAGTGGAGTTCTTAGTGGATTGTGTGTTGTGCCGTCTCTAGGGAAAGTTGTTCTTCATCTCTTGTGGATTTCAAGAGAGGTGTTTTCTTTACTTTGTCTTGTTCAATTGTAATTTGTTTGTAACAATTGTGATTATAGTGACAGCGTTAATCCTCTGTTTGAGTGATTAGCAACTGGATGTAGGGTCTTTTGATCCGAACCAATATAAATCTCCTGTGTAAGATTTTATCTCTTTCTCTATTTACATTTACACAGTTTTTAATCGTTAAAATTTGGGGAAAATTTTGAAAACCTAATTTTTGTTAAGAAACTAATTCACTCCCCTCTTGGTTTTTGTCCGACCACGCGAACATTCCACTGTGCGATTCTAACATATAGAACCCTAATTATGAAAATTAGGATTAATTTTGTTATGAACATTTCAAATTACCCAATTTTATGAACCCTAAGTGGAGAATAATCTCCAATTTTCGTGAACCCTAAATTCCAATTTGGGGGTAAGATCCCCAATCTATTTTCAGAATTATGGTGGTGGCAAGAAGCACTAGCGACATCGCAAGGGCGTGCCGTCCAATTGGTCGTTAGCGATGGCGTTGGTGCGAAGGTCCAATTGCATGAGGTTTAAGAGGTGGACGAAGGAGTTGCGGTTTGTGTGTGTCTATGTGTGGCTACATTCAGACTGTCAAATGTTCGAGAAATCAAAGGTTTTAACCTCTGAAACCCTAATCCTAACGGACAAATGGTGGAGCACTTGGCATTGAGCATTTGCAGGCACAACAACTGGTGTTCTCGGCTCCACACAAAGCCCACAATTAGCCCAACGTTGATTCTGTCGAACATGTACCAGAGGCCCAACATGAACATTATCACCAAACCCAATTTCATATTCACAATAAAGATCCAGTGCTACTAGATCCTTACCTGCTCCATAATAACAAAGGGCTAGAGCATAGTACCTTTCACTTCTATGAATAGTCCATGGAAGCAATTCTTCCAATTGATTGGCTAAAGCTGTCAAATCTCCAGAAACTGACAGTGCAAACGAAAGATACAAATGACCCATCCATTTGGGAACAGAGATTTGGGGGTGTGGCTTCTCCTCCACTATATATAAAAAAAATATGAAAACCAAAGTGAATTAGATATGCAAGAAGATGCAATTTTAGGATTCTAAATAAATAATTATAAATATTTGGTTTTGTTATATAAATAAAATATTCAATTTTTCGGTAGTTTAATAATTTTTGTGAGCAAATTGAGTCAATAAGGCACCAAAGTAACCTCTCTTGAATAGATAGTTCATGAAAAATGTTAAATGTTTGTGTGTATTTATTATCCATGCAAGTATTGATCGGTCTAGAAGAAGGTAAATACTTGGTCGGGTTGCATACACACCTGTGACGGTAAACACATGATAATTATAAGGTTTTGCATGTTGATAATAAAATCAATCCAAAGATAGGTTTGTTATCGAACATGCCTTATTATCAATGTTTGACCATTACAACAAGATACCCCTAGCAGTTAATGTTACTCGTCCAAAGACTTGATATTGATGGTGCATTGGGTGTCTTGAGATGAGTTAAACCATTATTTGAATATTTATAATTAATTAATTTTATAATGTGAGCATAATTATTTTATTTCTTTTGTTCTAATCCAGCTACAATTGCTTCTATATCTGCTAATTTAAATTTTGTTCCGATCCTCAATGGAACAAATTTTAAGGACTGGAAAGAGAACATTGATATTATTCTAGGCTGCATGGATATGGATCTTGCGTTAAGGACTGAGCAACCCCCTACTCCTACGGATTTTAGTACCTCTGAATAAAAGAGAGATTATGAGAAGTGGGATCGCTCAAATCGCATGAGCCTAATGATCATTAAGCACGACATCCCAGAGGTGTTTAGGGGCACTATTTCTGAAAACATCACAAATGCCAAAGAATTCCTTGCTGAAATTGAGCAGCGCTTTGCAAAAAGCGATAAGGCGGAGGCAAACACTCTTTTTCAGAACTTGATCTCCATGAAATATCAGGGCAAAGGAAATATCAAGGAGTACATTATGAGCATGTCTAATATTGTTTTTAAACTCAAGGCACTAAAGCTTAAACTCTCAGAAGACTTGCTCATTCATTTGGTGTTGTTTTCTCTTCCCGCAATGTTTAATCAGTTTAAGGTATCTTACAACTGTCAAAATGATAAATGGTCTCTTAATGAGCTCATTTCACACTGCATACAAGAAGAGGAAAGACTAAAGCAAGACAAGACAGAAAGTGCTCATTTTGTAAGCACCTCCAAGGCTAAGGGCAAAAGAAAGAGATCAGAGGATCTCGAGAAGGAAGCTGCTAAGGGTCTAGAACAAAAGAAACAAACTCAAGAAAACAAATGTTTCTTTTGCAATAAGATTGGATACGTAAAGAAGAAATGTGTTAAATATCATGCTTGGTGTGAAAAGAAAGGTATGTTTCTTACTATGTTATGTTCTGAAGTCAATTTAGCGTCAGTACCTAGTAACACTTGGTGGTTAGACTCAGGTGCACCTACTAACATCAGTGTTTCTATGAAGGATTGCCTAAATTACCGGAAGCTAACTGATTATGAGAGATGGATATTCGTTGGAGATGGCAAATCGGTGGAGGTGGAGGCTATTGGGTGTAGACCCCTAATTTTGCCCGGCCTCTCAAAATAAAAGCTAGAGGAACTTCACCCGAAGATGGAGTTCATCCGGTTTCCCAAAACGAGAAGGACCTCCCACAACAAAAGACGGAGTTCACTCATTCACACAATAAAAGCCAAAAGAGACTTCCTACACAAAGACAGAGCTCGCCCGGCATCTTAATGAAGGCCAAGAAGACTTCCTATATGAAGATAAAGCTTCAACAGACACATATCGGCATCCACTGACGTCCAAAACAGGCAAGGAAAGCTTCCCAGAGTCCCGAAACGCGCGAAACTGGCCAGAACAAGTCGAGACGGCCGTCCCAGTTGGGACGGCCGTCCCAACCTGCTCCAACCAGTTGGGACGCGCGTCCCGAAGTTGGGACGGCCGTCCCAAGCCCCAATTCAAGTGGGACGACCGTCCCGGGTTCCCAGGGGGTCCCAGCCTGTGTAATTTTGCCATTTGGGACAGCTGTCCCAGTCCAGACGGCCGTCCCATCCAGACGGCCGTCCCAAAGTGCGCCAGCTGCGAAAAACTATAAATAGGAGGCTCATTTGCCACTTTTTGGGACCCAGACACTCCAGAGAGCTCTGAAACACTTTCTAAAACTCAGAGCACTTGTCTATTTCTTTCTTTCTCTTGAATGATCTTTCCGATTGCCTTAAATAGGTAACAATCGGTTAAGGAATTATATTCCGGCATTCGATTCTTCTTTAAATTTTTAGTGGGGTCGATCTCGTGTTGGTGAGGAGAGTCTGTGTAGAGAGAGGGGTTGCCAAAACGCATCCTCACAGTTCAAGATTCTCAATATCAAGCGTGCTACGGAGGTTCTTTTCAATTCTCTTCTCTTTTATCGCTTTATTGTTTTATTGTTTTATTTAGCTTTATTATGTCATGTAGAATAGGATCATGTAGATAGCTATTTTAATATCTCTCTTATTGCTTTATTTAACTTTATTCATCATTTTATGCATGCAACATAGAATAAAATCATGTAGATAGCCATTTAATATTATGTAATAAAATAGGGTAATCGCGTAATTTCTCATAGTCTTTATTTAAATAAATCTGTCATAGGGAACCCGAAAGGGGCATTGTGGGGTGCTAATACCTTCCCCACACGTAACTAACTCCCTTACCCAACTCTGGTTATAATGGCCAAGTGCGGTTTTTCTTAAAATCAACATTTTTTCCTTTTCCAATGTTTAAGGTCAAAACATTGGTGGCGACTCCATAAGAACCCCTTTTCTAAAACCTTTTAAAACAAAAACGCGAGTCTACACCATCTTTTCGCGACCGCTCGCATAAACGTTTCGAGACGTCTCCCGGACGTCGAAAGGGACGGCGGCGACAGATGGCGACTCCACTGGGGAAGCTAGAGAGTTGATCCCATTTAGTGACAGATAAATTCAAACTAAGTAAAGATTTGAAATTACGCCTTTACCCTTCGTATGTTTTTTTTACTGTATGGCTTTAATAACTGCTGTATGATTATTTTCTGCAAATTGTTTGAAATATAAATTGCACACAAAACCCTTGCACACAACAGTCCCTCTATACCCGGGGGCAAGAGTGAATATCTATAAGGAGTGGGTGGCAGATACGATCGGTTAGTTGGCACACGGGGCTACTGCCGTTGTCGGAAAACCACCAACTCAAGGTGATAACTCTCTTCTTTTGGTCTAAGGGTGTCGCCACGGAGTTCCGTGCATGACCCAAGGATCGAGAGATTGAGAGGTCCCTATAATGGGGGCACCTTGGGGACCTTTGGCCTGGTGAGAACAGTTAGAACCACCTAAACCAAGCACGTTTCTGCAGGAAAATCCCACCTCGTGATTAAATAAGCGCGGCTCTGCTCGTGGATGTATGAATTGTGTGCGCATACGTTTGCTACATTTGTATTGATGCATTAGCATAGGGTAATCATACAACAGACAAAAAATGAAAAAACCTAAAAATCATAAAAAAAATGTAAAACATTAAGGTCATAAAAATACCTTTTCAAAAAGATTCTTGGCAAAGTCGTATCATTCATACCGCATCATTCAATAAGTGGTAAAACTAAGAGAGAAAACCAATGCATTAAGAAAAGTATGCATAAACATCATCATAAATAAAATCTCTCATACATAAACACGTTCATCCTAGGGCATATTTATTCCACGCTAATCATTTAAAATAAAAAGTTATAATAAGAATCATTAAAATCATTTAGAAGGTGGTTGGTCTTCCGCCCGTCCTCACTCGTGCTCAAAAGGCTAAGAAGATGGAACAACTAGAAGAACAAAACCGAAAGCTCACCGCCGAGCTTACTACACTGAAAGAGCAAATGGCTCAAATGTTAGAAATGATACATCAACAGTAATCTCCATCAAGAGGGTCCTCAGAATGGACAAGCCTCTCACCACGAAGAAGAAGAGGAACCTCGGAATGAGCATGATCAATCTGGTACAAGAACAAGTACATATTCATGCTCCCGAAGTATCAAAACAACAAATCACTCGCTCTTGAAGAGAGGCCGAGAGCCATGGAAGGACACAATTTTGATATAAAAGAGGCAGTTGATATGTGTCTCGTTAAAAACATCCAATTCCCTAATAAGTTCAAAACTCCGGACTTCCCGAAATACTTAGGAATAACCTGCCCCAAAAGCCATCTTACAATGTACTGCAGTAAGATGGCTGCATATGTCGATAATGAGAAACTCCTGATCCATTGCTTTCAGGAGAGTTTAGTCGAATCGGCCTTAAACCGGTATATGCAACTAGAAGGGGGCCAAATCCAAACCTGGAGACACCTGGCGGATGCCTTTCTTCGTCGATATAAATACAATATTGATCTGACCCCTGAAAGAGCAGATCTACAACTATTAAGCAAGAAAGATGATGAATCCTTCAAAGCATATGCCCAAAGATGGAGGGAATTGGCAGCACAAGTAGAACCTCCTTTATCTGACAAAGAGACTACATCCATGTTCATCAATTCTTTGACGGGTCCTTATTATGACAAAATGATAGGGAACACATCGACACTCTTCGCAGATGTAGTCATTATAGGAGAAAGAGTAGAGCAAGGTCTGAAGAACGGAAGGATTGCACAGCAGAACTCCTCCAACTCCTCTACTCCATTCATTAAAAAGAGCCTCGGGAAAAAGAAAGAAGGAACCGTAAATGCAATCAACTTGGCCATTCCTTCTTCCTCCTCTCAGCAAACTAAGCCACGTAGACCAGAAAGAAAGTTCACCCCCAATACCCACTTCTTATGCAAGCTTGCTGTTAAAATTACTAGACGCCAAGCTCCTCGTACGCATTCCTCCCAAGAAGATGGAGCCACCATATCCAGAGTGGTATAAGCTTAATGAAAAATGCAACTATCATTCGGACGCTCCAGGACATTCTA